TGAGGAACCCTGTCTGGTGATGCTCCCACTGGGGCATCACTTGGCCACATTACCTACTGGAGGAGGCGGCCTGCCCACTCACCCTTCTGGGACCACACCTGGCTTGCACACTGGCTCATCCCCAGCCCACGTGTGTTATAGCTCACACCCATGTTCAGCGGTTTCTAAGTTCTTGTTCCACATCCAAGAATAATGAGATACTCTGACAATTGAAGGATAAGGATGACGAAGATGAATTTATTGAGCAGTGAAACAGCTCTCAGAAGAGAGGGGACTTGAGAGTGGTCAACCACCCTGCGTTGGGTGGTTTCTCTCTCAGTGTGGCTGGGTCTGTGACTTTTATAGGCACAGAACTGGAATAAGTGGGCTGTAGGTAGCAATGGAAAAGGTAACATTTGATTGGTTTAAAAGCATTATTCAGAAAGAACCAATCAGAAAAGAGTGGGTAAACAGGAATAGAAGTTCTCTCTTTGGATCACAGATTTCATGCTGTTGTTGGCTTGAAGGTGGGCTTTCACTGGGACCTGTCCCTGTCTGCCTAGGATTTGTCTGCCTACTGCTGCTCTCACAAGTATGCATTTCTTACCCATTGGCCTTATTATTTGGATCCTTTAGTTAAATATAATATTTCTCATATGCAATTAACTGTCTAACTATAAAAATCTTCCTAGTTCATGTAACAGTGTCCTCTCTTATTTCATTGGGAATATTTATTATGTTCACTGTTCTAGTAATTATCTTCATACATTCTGTGTACTTTGTTGGCTTTTACAGTGTTCGACTTATCGCCTATCTATCTATCTATATCTACCTATTGAAGAATTAGAAAAGGTGTGATACCTCTCCTTACCCATAACAGTCACAGATGACATTCCTGTGACAATGACAGTTTAACAAGAGAAAAACATAACAAAATTATTTAATCAAAATTTTACCTGACATGGAAGAATTCAAAAACAAATAACCAAAGATCTGAGGAGAAGTGTCTACTTTCGGCTTAGATTAGAGGAAGAAAGAACAGATGTGTAGAAATGGGATCTGACTAAGTGGTAATAGACTGAGTGGGGAAGGCCAGCAAGGCCTCTCTGTTTAGATTATCCTTGGCCTCTTTATGTAGCATTCCTTCTTCCTAGGTATAAGGCAAGGATCCTCTGGAATCAAATGGACCCGCCATTGGACAAGGCAGATCAGAGAATTTCCTTTTGGCCAGCTCCTACACAGAAGGGTAGAGAAACGTTAGAGTAATTTTTCTTTTTCTATGACCTGCCTTTGTGAAGAAGAATTCTAGTTTCCATGGTTTGCCTTGGCAGAGAAAGGGGAACAAGAGAGATCGGGGCAGGAGTTCAGAGACAGACTTTGCTTCTGAAGCTAATTTGGGGGCTTTGCAATCTCTTTAAGTTGAAAGTAGTCAGCATACCAAAGCTCAATACTTTAGGCTATAGTTTTCTGAGCTCTAATACCATCCATCCATTTATCTGCCTGTTTATTCATATATATCACTATCATCATTAGGTTATTGTTTTTATGGGTAAATTGAATTGGGGAAGAGGTAAGCTTGGGCCCTTTGTGTGTCCCTTTAGCTAGTTTAACATAATACTTAAATTTTAAGTACAGAAATATTTCTATGAAATTCTATCCTAAAGCAAGATGGAAACAGGAATATATAGAGACATATCACGTTGAATGGCTTTCTGGTTACGATTTCCCTGGTAGAGAGTGCCCCTTGTTTTATGAAACCTAATTTCATAGATAGAACTGACAAATATTTTTTCCCTGACCAAATTTTAGTCAGGCTTCCCTGAGCCCTTTGTTTGACTTGGCTCAACTTTGGCCTTCTGTGTCTTTGTAGAATACAGTTTTAGCAAAATCTTGCTAAGTCAATTAAGTCAGAAGACCTCACCCTTGATATGTAATTACCTTTAATAGTTTAACAAATTACTAATTTTCCACCATCCCCCAGGTAGTATTTGATAACTCTGACCTGCCTTCAGCAAGAATTCTGTCAGTTTGGTTTATCCAGAACCTTCCCATGCTCTTGAAGTTTCCTTTTTTATCTGCCGACCCCAAGCCTGCTCCTTGGATATAATTTCCACGTTTCTTTGTTGTATTCATAGATGAGCACAATGAGCACAATCTCTCTTACTGCAAAATCTCATTAAGATAGTCCCTATACCTATTGTAATGGTCCTGAATAAAAAGTCTGCTTACTGTTTTAAACAAGTATAATAAGTATTTTTTCCTTAACAGTATATATTCTCTAATGCAATATTTTAAACCAATTCTTATATAAAATTATATTTACAGATAACACAGCATTTTTAAGTTAAAGCTCCTTTTCTAATATGATTTGGAAACTTAGCATAACTGAACCTTAAATGTCAAAGACATGAAAATTCCATATAATCTTACATACAAAGCAATTAATTGTTACCTACCATATTTATAGACAATCACTATTCTGAGGCATTTATATCATAGCATAACAACATGTTACTTATATGGGTGCTTTATTGTGATTTAATTAAATTATACGACTTTGTAGTTAAGACTGTGGCATTTTATTTATTTATTCTCATTGAAAGAATGAGAAATAGACTTTCATTGATTGATGCTAGTTAGAAAATCTTTTTATCCTAAATATCCATTTTTTTTTCTCTGCTTGAATCTTTCAAATTTGCCACTTATTATTTGGATTGGTACCAGAATTTTTAAATATGTACAGTATTTTAAACTGAAGCTTTTCATCACATAATTATGTGAGCTTTGCTCACAAAGAAAGATAATATTGTTTCTTTTCCATTTCAGGTAATTTCAATTAATATTTTATTTGATATTCAATGATTGACTGATATTGACCAAGACAGCTTTTTTTGTTCCCTTCAACTTACTAAATCTGAGACATGTTTCTTTCTTACTGTAGGCCCCCTGGATCTCTCTTTTCTTAGAAAACTTGCTATTGCAAACTTTTTCTGTCCCTTTCAGATGTAAGTCTTCCTCAACAGAAATGTTTTCTTAAGAACATAGGAGCCATCTCTAAAAGGTAATCCTCAAGAAAAATAGCTCCCAATCCCCTAGTCTCTGTGGAAGAGTTAGAAACTAACTTCAGTAAGCATCAAGTAGCAAATACTGATGGCCTCATCATATTCACAACTTTCTCCATAACTTTTTCAACTTTCTCTATAGTTTTTTCACTAGCTCACAAAGGTGCTAAAACCTCTTCCATCCTTTATTTCAAAGAAGTAGAGTAGAAGTTGTCTCCCACATTGCAATGGTCTTGACCATTATTGCAGTAAGTTCCTTGTTGTTTTTAACAAGTGTCCAGTGTGTATTTTTCTTTGGGAGTCTGTCCATTTACACATCCTTTAAAGGATTTATAGTATGAAAATTAATTTTAACAACAATGGTACCTTTACTAGAAACCAATAGTAAAAAACAATTTCCTCCTTTTGTGTTTAATCCCCAGAGATACATGTTTTGCTTTGTATTAAGACAGTTTTGCTCCTTCTCTTACTAAACTCTATTATAATTTTGGCTTTATGTGGATCTTGTCAATAACAGCTATTAATTAGTTGTCATGATTTGCAAAATCTCTGATTTGGATGAATGATAAGACATGAAGTTTTTAAAAAGAAGCTCAAGAATGAATTACTTTTTGAAAAATCTGGTGAGCATTAAATGAAGCTAAATATTTCTGGCAAAATACAAAAATATGCTTATTACATTATTAATAAAAATATTATGATGCCTCTCTCAGTAGACCCAATAAAATAATTTCTTGATGAATTATGATAGGCACGGAAAGATGAAAAATTTTCCACCATGGTTCCAGGATGTTCCTCTTTATCCATCTTGGTAAAATCCAAATTGCCCAAATAATGCCTGGCAATCAGCAAATCTGAAAGATGGTCTTTCTCTCTGAAACTGTGTGACAGCCCCCAATCTGCCTTAATAAAGCCCTAAAAACCATTCCTTCCTCCTTTTCTATCTTAGTATGCTCCTTAAAAGCCTTGTCACCTGGAATATTTTTGAATAAAAGTTTATTCTAATAGTCCTTTATTTGGTTTTCTTCCATAAAAGGTATTTCTATGTATTAAATCATTCTTGTAAACTTTGTTAGTGTGTGTGTGTGTGTGTGTGTGTGTATATATATATATATATATATATATATATATATATATATATATAGCTTTACATATATATAATATTTTATGGTATTTTGTTGTGGGATAAAAAATATATTGCATTGAAGTATAAATGAATTTACCTTTCCACACATAAGATAAAGAATGTTGTAAAAGAAATTACTCTTGCCTACTAGTTCCAAAGTGTTTTTCAGTACAATAATCCCAACAGAGATTTTGATAAGATACATTTGAGAAATTTTGCAGACTGAAGGCCAGGAATGCCAATGTCACCTTGTTATAGCACATGCAGAGTTTGATACTATTTGTTTGCCACAGTAGTTTTAGCTGAAGCAAATATGAAGTTCAAGTCCACGGCAGCTAGGTTAAACCAGTCCAGGGTTGTTAAGGCCCCAGAGCTCAAAGCAACCCCATCACAGCCTAGGCCCAAGTTGTGCAAAACTCTGATACAGACACTTCAGAGAGATCCACAAATTATATTACTCTATTAAAAGTTTGGATAAATTCTACTCTTAGGAAAACAGTTTAATTCCTTAAGTTGTTATTTGTTTTGCTCTTTTTCTTTTTAATTTCAGCATATATTTAAAAAGTGTTTTGTTTAAATAAAACCTATTCTAGGAAAATATTTTAGAAATATTATTCTATGGCAAATTACCTTTTTTCTACAAGCTATAATCTTTGTTCCTAACAAATAGAAAGAAAACAAAATATAAATAACATTTCATAGAAATATCTTTAAATCTGGAAAAATATTTCTTAATCACAAATTATTTATTTTTCATTTATTTATTTATTTTAATTTTTTATTTTTATAAAGAAAAAATAAAAGAGAGAAAAGTCTACTTTTGTGGACCGAGTTAAGGGACAGCACAAATGCAGTCCCCCATTACTACAAATTATGCAGTCAAGTTTCCTACATTTGGGGAAATCACAGGGGTCAGCACATCCAGAGTGCAATGGATAAGCCTCGCCCTGGGAAAACCATCTTCTTGATATGGTATCTCCCCTGCCAGGTAAGTATAATCATAAATTATGATAATTTTTCAAATCTACAAAGGACATTGGGTTAACTATAGAAAATTTAACCGTCAAAGATAAAAAAAACATGGTTTTGAAAGTTTTTTAAAGGTATTTTTCTTTGAAATTTTCTACCTTTTCTTCCTTGTTAGAATACTGTTTTTTATATCTAATGAATCCTTATTATATTACTTAAAATTCCCACAGCATTCCAGATATTATGTAGTTGATGAAAGTGTATATTGGTGTGTTAAATATTTTCCACCTTCTGGAGGACAATATTTAGTGTTCTTTTATCGTATCTTGTTATAAAAAATTATATATTTTAAAATGAATGTATGATGACTGTGGAATTATTTAATACACATTTATATATGTAGAAATTTTATAACCAATGTTATTAGTGCAGTTATATTAAATCACCATTTCTGGTAGTAAAAATAATATGCACAAATTTACAAACATTCTTTGCTTTACATGAGTTCCTATCATTTAGCTAAATAAAATCTTTCAACTGATCTTAAATGGAGAAATTTTTTAGTGACATAAATAATACTTAAAATGTTCTCAGTTCCGCTAAGATTGCCATAGAAATAATACATAAAATAGGGTGACTTGCTTTAACAGAACCCTTGCAAGTGAAATAAGATTTTAGAGTGGAGTATTGCTAGAGTAGTTATTAAAAGACATCGAAGCAAAACCAAATAGGAAGAATTTATGCTCTTGAGTGCTTTGCTGAAATCCTTTCAGTCATGTTGAAGCAAAGACAGAGTCTGTGCTTTTCCAGTTTTGTGTGTCAGGTAAAACATAGCAGGGGGTGAAATGAATTCATCTTTCTGTCTTCAAGTAAACTAAAAGCAATTTTTGTCTTCCCATGTGGTCACTTGAGGTGCTTGTCATGTTCAAGCTAATGATATCAGGCACCCTCAGGTTGTTTAAGTATTCATGAAGTAATTAAATTCTCATTAACATATAAATAAAAGAAAACTGAAAACAAGTTTAGCAGGCACCTAACATCTGTTCTAATGTTTTTAAGTATTAAAATGTGCCACACACAGAAGGAAAAGTGCATTCTGTTCAGGGAAGTATTTTGCATAGATTATTTATAGAAACTGTAATTAAACTGATTTGGCATATTAAAGAATGTTAACAGGAGCACATTATTCACACAGTTTGTTGTCTGTCACTTAAGGAGTTAAAAATAGAAATCAGAACAGTAAAATTAAGTTTCATTTATTTTACATTTCAGAAAATATTGTGAGTAATTGAAATTTATTTTCATTCTAAAATAAGATGGTTAAATTTTAGTTTATGCAGGTATATATCCAATTTTAAGGCTGTACCCAAAAGTCCGTTTCATTGTGAATTTTATAAAACGGTTTTGGTACTTGTCCAAGTATTTCACTTAAACCCCTAAATTTACCCTAATCACATGTACAGATGATTTTCTCTTTATTGCTTTTATGTATGGTTTTGTCAAATGGTAAAATGGAATGTATTGAAGAGAATCTGAACTTTCATTATTAGCCTTCTTTTTTCATGCTATTTCCCACTTACGTTAGATCTTTTCATGCTATGTATTAACTGTTATAATTACAAATTTCACAAACATTTTGCTGTTTCCCAATCATCTCAATAAAATTTGCTATTCAAATAAAATAAATTCACTTATTTTACTAAGAGTTGTATAAGGGTAAGAAAACTTTTTCTTCAACTCTCATAGGTTCTTAGAAAGCAACCCTGTAATATAAGACAGACTTAAGGAGAGAAAGACAAACAAACCATTACCCATATTGTTGCATCTCAGAAAATAATACCCACAGAGTTTGTTGCTTTGGTATGCTGAACACCTTAAAATTCTATAGGGTGGCTTTAAAATATGCCTGGAACTCAAAAATGTTCTGACCTTTTCTGTTTTACTCTCACCCTCCAGCAGGGGAGTTTTTCTCTGACATTTCCTTACTAAGTTAAAACCACACCTACCACTGAAAACACAATTGCATTTTATCCCCTCCCTGAAATTTTACTATTTCATGTAGAAGAATGAGAAATGTAATCACACCTGAACAGTTTGTCACAAGATATTGCCTGTCTCTCAGGCTCATTTAAATTCCGGAGAATCGTTTTAAAAATGATGTCTGCTTCTTGGGTACATTTATTTTCTTTAAAATTTTCCTCCCTCTAAAATTGCTTACAGTTCCCCACTCCCCTCTCCCCTGTGAAAAGAGAGAAACTGCCTTTGTAAAATTATAGCTAAGGAAATTATGACAGTGAAAGATATCAGACCTAACCAATTCCATCTTGCTTGTAACTTCTAAACTGTCCTTATCCATTCTTGGGTGCAGGTCAAACTAGCCTTGGTAAGGAATTTAGTTTATAGTTTAAATAGCAGTCCTTCCCAAAAGCTAAACTCTTCTTGTAAAATGAATGAAAGGCCATCCGCCACAAAGTAAGGATGAGAGATGCTGCAATTCCAATTATTAACAACCATTATTCTGGAGATCATAAAATTTGCAACTTCCCCAATTACTCTTGAGGATAACGTCACTACTATGAACTTAAGATTGGCCTGTCAAGGTGTCTTTGCCAGTTATTGCATATCTAACAACCAGATAGTCCCATCTGGACCTGCCATCCAGTCTGTGGCCCCCATCCAGGAACTGACTCAGCATAAGAGGACAGCTTGGACTCCCATTGACTTCATCCCTGAGCCAACCAATCACTTCTACCGACTCACTGGTCCCCTCACCACTTAAAAACGCTTATCTCTGAGTTTTCAGGGAGACTGATTTGACGAATAATAAAACTCCAGTCTCTCACATGGACAGCTCTATGTAAATTGCTTTTTCTTCATTGCAAGTCCCCTGTACTGATAATTGGCTCTTCTAGGCAGGGAGTAACGTGATCCCGTTGGGTAGTTACAAGAGTGGTTAAGATTCAATTAACTGGCCCTACTTTAACTCTCGTATTTTGTGTGGCTCCCTTGCTTAAGCATGTTAATACATCTTTATACCTTTTCTCCTGTTGATCTATATATTGTCAGTTTATTTCAGCAAACTCAATCACTTATTGGAAGAGGAAAAATTCTCTTCACCTATATAACATATACATTTCATATATACAGAAGAGACACCCAGGGAATGAGGAATTACCAAAGAGATAGGTTTGAATTCTAGTTTATATAGCATTTTGAACCTTTGTTCTTTAATTGTAAATTTTTACAGAAGTGACAAGACAAAAGGAGAGGACTTGCAACTTTAGGGAAGACCAATAAATGGCAAATAAAGGCTAGTTAGTAAAGCCTGGTAAGGTAGATTTTGCTAGTATCTTTTTCTAGTATCTTTCGCTAGCATCTTTTTTCAGATGATAAGCATCTAAAGCTGTTTTCAGTGGTTATGATTTGTTCTCCCTTCTAGGGAGAACTTTAAATTATCTGAGGCTTGAGAGGAATGTGACTCTGTGGCTTGAGTCACATGGCACATTATGCAAATTCTCCTTTAACTTCCTTTCTTATTCTTGTACTGTAGATGATTAGTAAAGACTTGAAAGCACCCTAGAAAAGAGCACCCTTGAGTCTAATACCCCTTTATAAGTAATGTTAAAGCAATCTTACTTGTAGCAAACTGTAATCAATCAAATCACTGTAATATATGTATTGGCCTTGTGTAGAAAATGTTGCAACTCTGCTAAATTTCTCTATCTCTGCCTATATAAGTGAAATTGTAACTTTCCCACTTTGGAGCACTGACCCCATTCTTCTGTAGTCTTTGTTAGCCACGTGGAGATCCTCAAGTTTTGCAGTTGAATAAACTCTATACTTAATTATATTTTCTGAATCTCATTGTTGAAGGTTGACATCTTTCATTTAGGCAAATAGGAGGGTAGAGAACTTTCCTGCATCTGCTTATTCTTTTTTATTTCCTTTCTTGGACTTTATTATTATATTTTAAGTCCTGGGGTACATGTGCAGATCATGCGGGAGTGTTACATAGGTATATACATGCCATGCTGGTGTGCTGCATCCATCCCCCATCATCTACATTAGGTATTTCTCCTAATGTTATCCCTCCCTGAGCCCCTTACCCCTGCTATCCCTCTCCTAGTACCCCCAACCCCCAACAGGCCCCAGTGTGTGATATTCCCATCCTTATGTCCATGTGTCCTCATTGTTCAACATCCACTTATGAGTAAGAACATGTGGTATTTGGTTTTCTGTTCTTGTGTCAGTTTGCCGAGAATGATGGTTTCCAGCTTCATCCATTTCCCTGCACAGGCCATGAACTAATCCTTTTTATAGTTGCATAGTATTCCATGGTGTATATGTGCCACATTTTATTTTTCCAGTCTATCACTGATTGGCATTTGGGTTGGTTCCAAGTCTTTACTATTGTAAACAGTGCTGCAATGAACATATGTGTGCATGTGTCTTTATAGTAGAGTGATTTATAATCCTTTGGGTATATACCCAGTAATGGGATTGCTGGGTCAAATGGTATTTCTATTTCTAGATCCTTGAGGAATCACCACACTGTCTTCCACAATGATTGAACTAATTTACACTCCAACAACAATGTAAAAACATCCCTATTTCTCCACATCCTTTCCAGCAACTGTTGTTTACAGATTTTTTAATGATCGCCATTCTAACTGGCATGAGATGGTGCATCTCAATGTGGTTTTAATTTGCATTTCTCTAATGACCAGTGATGATGGGGTTTTTTTTCATATGTTCGTTGGCTGTATAAATGTCTTCTTTTGAAAGTGTCTGTTCACATTCTTCACACACTTTTTGATGAGGTTGTTTGCTTCTTGTAAATTTGTTTTAGTTTTTTGTAGTTTCTGGATATTAGCCTTTTATCAGATAGGTAGGTTGCAAATTTTTTTTCCCAATCTGTTGGTTGCCAGTTCACTCTAATGATTGTTTCTTTTGCTGTGCAGAGTGCAGAAGCTCTTAAGTTTAATTAGATCCCATTTGTCTACTTTGGCTTTTGTTGCCATTGCTTT